GTATTTTATAGACTCCCAGATGGTGTGTGGTGATAGCTATCCTTGTGCAGATTCTAAAGCCATTTAGTCTGAGCATAGACGTTTTTAGTGCCTTTTTCAGTGAACATGCTACTGTTGGAGTACACGTGGGAGATCCCATCTACAGTTTCTACACAAGAATCGGTTAACTATCCAGAGCCCTCAGGGGCAACAGAATTGCTGGGTTGAGGACCTAGTACACCTTAAGAGTTATTTTAGGCAAATCTAACAATAGAGCCTGATACTTTGTGAGACACCCTCCTGTTAGCCATAGATGCCCTTTAATTTCTAAGACCTCTTGCACCTGGTGGAGCCTGAACTTCAAGTGGCTGGCCTAAAGTCAGCTTGGTGGCTTCCTCCACCAAGAGTGCTGTAGCAGCAACAGCCCTTAAGCATGCAGGCCACCCTGTAGCCACTGAATCTAGCTGTTCAGAAAAATAGGCCACTGGTCATGGACATGTACCAAATTTCTGAGTCAATACTCCTAGAGCAACCCCCTGTTTCTCTAGTATAAACAGGATGAATGGCATACTCAGGTTAGGAATTCCTAATCCTGGGGCTTCTGTTAAAAGCTCTTTAATTCTTTGGAATGACTTCTGTAATTCCCCTGTCCAGAATTTGTGTTTCACACACAGGCTTGGCTATTAATCCAAACCCTGGAATTTATATTTTACAGAATCCTGCCATTCCTAGAAATGTCCTTAGCTGCTTTTACTCCATCTGTGATTACCTTTTACATAGAATAGCTTCCTTTCTCCTGACCAAGAGTATGCTTTTTCGGAAAGAAGACCTTTTTCTCTGTCTCTCTCTCCCTCACTGCCTAACTATGCCTGTCAGAAAGAAAGAAAGAAAGAAAGAAAGAAAGAAAGAAAGAAAGAAAGAAAGGAAGAAAGGAAGAAAGGAAGGAAGGAAGGAAGGAAGGAAGGAAGAAAGGAAGAAAGGAAGAAAGGAAGAAAGGAAGAAAGGAAGAAAGGAAGAAAGGAAGAAAGAAGGAAGGAAACAAAACCTGGGCTTTTGTTGGGAAATTCTGTATCCTTGCTTTTCCAGATTCTTGGTTTAATGGGATTCATTGAAACAATTGTCTCATTAGCCTTAAGGCCTTTAACCATTTTGTACTCTCCATATGACTTTAAAACAGGCAAGATAGGAGTATTCAGGGAGATGTGGATCCAAGAGTCCATATTTGAGGAACTAAATTAACTTTAAAGAAACACCTAAGGAAGATAACAAATCTCGCAGAAGCATTTAGACATAACTAAAACTTAAGAGACATAAGAATACCCTATACTTAACAAACACTTTAAAAGAAAATAAATCTTAAAGAAAAAGTTTTACCACCAACTCTAATACTGTAACTCTTTGAAGATACAGTACCTGCATGAGAAATTAGTACACAGGGACTCCTGTTGTTCATTTTAACAATTAACAGCCTATGTATGATGTCAGTGATCACCTGAGCACTTGACATGAGCTGCCTAGGCTGTGGAAGCCTTTTGAATCTGCAAACTCTGTCAGTATTTAGATAAGGACATAAACAACGTAGAAGTTCTTTTCTCCCTAGAGAAAAGGACATCCTTCTTTGATGACCATTCCTTCCACTGGGGGCTCACCCAGTGAGGTCCTTCATGTAGGGACACTTTTTGCACCAGTGTCCTGGCTTTCCATTTCTGAAATGCTCTCGTGGGCTTTTCAGCCAGATCAGATGCCTTATGGGCTGATTCTGAGGTCAGAGTGCCACTTACTGCTGCTGGCACTGGAGGAGCCTGCTGTATGGACTGCTTCCCATGTTGGAACTTGCACTCCTCATTAATCCTGTCTATTATTGTTTCTAAACACGTAATCATACTATATGATCACTTTCACACTTGAAATTCCATTTTTGCCATCCAGCTCAAGGGGATTTGGGACCCCTAGGCAAGTTTTCAAACTGCAAACTTAGAAGTCCAAGTCCGTAAGGATGTATGCAGGACTATATAACTGAACAATCACTTTGTAGGACCTGAAGAGATAAAACAGACACAGTTCTTTGCAAGATAAACTATCCCTAAGCATGTGACTTGGATATATGGCATTAGGTATAATACTTACACCTTAGAAGCTCATTTGTACATAAAATGGGGTCCACTATTTTACCCAGCCCACTGAGGGGATTGTAAATTTTTTTTCCTCTTTTATTTTTTTAACCTAGTGTGAAGCTTAAAATATTGCTTAGTCTGAGAAATGTCATTCTAGACTGCCATGCCACTCCTTGGATACCAATTCTCAGGAGGGCCAAAAGAAAGCCGCCTGGTCTGAGATGATGTTGGGAGGGCCTGAAATGCCTGGGAATAGAATCCCAGGAGGCCAAGAGAATGAGTGTAGGACAAAAATAACAAACTAAAAGAATAAACCTGTGCTAAAGCTGAACTAGCATGAAGCTAAAATAACAAATTAAAATAATACACCAGTGTTAAAGCTGAACCAGGGTGAAACCACAAGAAATTAAAATAATAAACCAGCATTAAGGCCAAAATAACAAGCTAAAATAATAAAACGTCACTCCAATAATTAGGCATGCATCACGTGGACAGCCACAGGGGCCACCATCATGGGGTGGAATCTGTTGCCCGTCTTCCAGTAAGCGTGGAAGTCCCCATGAGGGCCACCATCTTGGTGACCCCATGTCCTGCCTGGGGAATGCCATCTTGGTAACCTCGTGTTTCTAATGGAGGCTGCCATCTTGGGACAAAAGTTCTACCCTCCATGGCAGGAAATGGAGACTCCACCAAATTTAAAGTTCTGCCTTCCTGATGCTAAAATATTTCTGTTATCGGTGAATGGCAGGGTTCTTGTCTTTGTGCAAGAAAAAATTCAGGCGTGAGACAGAGAGTAGTGGAAAGTAAAATAGCAAGGTTTATTAGGGAAGGGACATCGTAAGAATGGATGGGGGCCGGTGCCGTGGCTCACTAGGCTAATCCTCTGCCTTGCGGTGCTGGCACACCGGGTTCTAGTCCTGGTCGGGGCGCCGGATTCTGTACCGGTTGCCCTCTTCCAGGCCAGCTCTCTGCTGTGGCCCGGGAGTGCAGTGGAGGATGGCCCAAGTCCTTGGGCCCTGCATGGGAAACCAGGATAAGTACCTGGCTCTTGGCTTCGGATCAGCGCGGTGCGCCAGCCACAGCACACTGGCTGTGGCGGCCATTGGAGGGTGAACCAACGGCAAAGGAAGACCTTTCTCTCTGTCTCTCTCTCTCACTGTCCACTCTGTCAAAAAAAAAATAATAAAATAAAAAAAAGAACAGATGGGCACCTCTCCAGACAGAACCTGAGAGAGAGTGCCCAGTCGCACAGACTGGGGGAGAGCGAGGTTACATGGTTGAGTGGAGAGTACACCTGGCCAGGCCAGGCGGGTGGCTCAGCAGAGAGGCAGAGGGTTGAGCACGCAGTCCAGTTGAGGCCGGGGGTTTTTAAGGGGATGGGTCTTTGTCTTCTCACCTCTGCTCCTCTTGGAACAAAGGACTTCTTGGATGTAAACAGAAAAACTCCTATCTGAGTTTTTCCCCTGAAGTTATCAGACAGGGGGAGGGTAGAAGGAGCTGGGTGCATTTGAAGTGCAGATGCTGGGCTGCACCTGGAAGATTATCAGGCAGAAGGGGCAGGGACCCCCCTGGCAGGTTATCTGGCAGGAGGGGGCAGGGCAGGATGCGAATACTGGGCTGCCCCTGAAAGGTTATCAGGATGACTTTGAGATGCATATGCTGGACCTAGATGTCAACTCTTTAGGCCTTTATGTCACACACACATAAGCTCATATCTGACTTCCTACCTAACATTTCTAGGCAATGAGACCTGCTCCCCTGTCCAAAATTACCAATTGAAAGCATGCCTAGGCTGGCGCCGCGCTCACTAGGCTAATCCTCTGCCTTGGGGCGCCAGCACACCGGGTTCTAGTCCTGGTTGGGGCGCCAGATTCTGTCCCAGTTGCCCCTCTTCCAGGCCAGCTCTCTGCTGTGGCCCGGGAGTGCAGTGGAGGATGGCCCAGGTGCTTGGGCCCTGCACCCGCATGGGAGACCAGGAGAAGTATCTGGCTCCTGCCTTCGGATCAGCATAGTGCGCCAGCCGCGGCGGCCATTGGGGGGTGAACCAACGACAAAGGAAGACCTTTCTCTCTGTCTCTCTCTCTCACTGTCCACTCTGCCTGTCCAAAAAAAAATAAAAAATAAAAAAAAAGAAAGAAAGCATGCCTGGCCAGTGCTCTGGCATAGCGGGTAAAGCTACCACCTACAGTGCCAGCATTTCATATGGGCACCAGTTCAAGTCCTGGCTGATCTAGTTCCAATCCAGCTCTCTGCTGTGGCCTGGCAAAGCAGAAGAAGATGGCCCAAGTGCTTCAGCCCCTGCTCCTCTGTAGGAGACTTGGAAGAAGCTCCTGGCTCCTGGCTTTGGATCAGTTCAGCTCTAGCCATTGCAGCCAACCGGGGAGTGAACCAGTGGATGGAGGACCTCTCTCTCTCTCTCTCTCTCTCTCTCTGTGTGTGTGTGTGTGTGTGTAACTCTGAATTTCAAATACTTAAATAAATCTTTAAAAAAAATCATGCCTGATTTGAAAAGCAAAGACCCTGAAGCAGACCAGAATTTTTTGGTACTGTTTAAGCCTGTCTGCGAAACTTAAAAAAAAAAAAAAAAAAAGTCTTAATTTTTCCATTCAGAAACTATGTAAAATGTCCTTAAAAATACATCACAAATAATTTCAAAACTTCTGTATATTGATAAACTCTCACAAACTGGCTCTCTGCTAAAACCTTTCTCCCACTTTTCTGCCCAAATTCCGTTAAAGCTAACATCACATTCTCCTCAAACTACTGAAAGGAAAAGCACCAAAAAAATCAATCCTTGCATTTTTTACAGCCTCTTCCCAAATGAGCACTGAGGGGAAGTTTGACCTGAAGCAAATGCTAATACAGCACATTCCTGAGGGAAGCAAGACCAGGGAGAAGAGGCGGGGATGCAGAAACAGTGTGAAGCAATTGGAAAGTCCCTTACCATGCAGCCCTTTTTAAACAGACCAAACAAATATTTAGTCCCTCCATGATCACCAACTGTTATCATGGGACCTACACTAAAATTAATATTTCGGGTTCTTGTTGCAAGCTTAGAGAAGCATTCTAAACTTAGACAAGACAGGAAACATGACAAAGCTCAGAATTTATTTGAGGAAGTGAGAGGAATACAAAGGAATGCAAGGGCGTCATTTAAGGGAGAGCAGGGTCAGGAAGATAGACTGGGAGATCCATACCAGGCACTGGACAGAACAAGGGCTACATGTGGGAGTCCACAGGCCAGAACCACGTGGGGAAGCCACGTGGGCAGGAGTGGTCATGAAACAGGCAGCATGTCGAAGAACAGGGCTACATTTCTCAATAAAATACATTAATTCATTCTGAAATGTTTGATAATTTTATCAGCTCTAAAGCAAATTTTACATCTCTAATTGCTTCATAAACTCTAACTCATTCTGAAATTTTCTTACAAACTTCTGCTATCAAGAAAAATATAAATTGATTGGTCAAGTTTTCTTCAACTGGTAAGTAGTCTTGTTTTTATTTTTTGTTGAGTTTCACCGCATTTTTGTTAAGTTTTTGTAGTTTCATATTTGTTAATTCATATGTCAATACACAGGATCATCCTGAACATTAAATATAAGCTTCCTAGAAGTGATAGATTAGTTGCATTACCTATCTCTTGGCTCAAGACAACCCCAAGGGTGGAGATTTGCCACAGCAGTTGGGGTATCACTTGGAACACCCTCGTCCTGTACTGGGGTGTCTGGGTTTGAGTCTGGCTTCCACTTCTGACTCCAGCTTTCTACTAAGGGACACCCTGGGAAGCAGCAGGTGACAGCTCAGGTAGTTGTGTACCTGCACCATGCAGGAGACTGGACTGAGTTTCAGGTTCCTGGCTTGAGCCTACTCCAGCCCCGATGCTTCCAGCATTTAGGTAGCAAACCAGCAGATAGAAGATGTCATGCTGTCTGTCTCTGTCTCACTCTGCTTTCAAATAAGATAAAAGTCTCTTAATTTTTAAAAATGCTACTCCTGTATGGTATTTTTATATGGAGACTTCTAATTTGAGAATATTTGCCAACATTAACAAATACTTTGGATTCTACAATATTCAGATTTCACCAAAAATTTAAAATTAAAGAGAAAAGGGGGTTTAGCCTCCTATATCATCTGTATGTCTTTAATAGGTAAAAAATGTAGATATGGGGAGATGTCTTTTGTTTGAATTTTAAATAAGGTATACAATTTTCATGTATTTCATATCTACAGATTTAGAAATATAGTGTTATTTCTCACCCTACTCTCCTTCTTGCCCACTCTCCCACCTTTCCTCCTCTTCCCTCTCCTAGTCTCACTCTTAATTTTTACAAAAATCTATTTTCAGTTTACTTTATACTCATAAGATTAACCCTACAGTTAGTAAAGAGTTCAACAAATAATATGATGAATAAAACACTGTTCCTCAACAGTAGAGATAAGGGCTGTAAAAAAAACATTAAATCTCAGAATGTAAATTTTAGTCTTACACATTATGTTTTTGGTATTCTATTAGTTACCACACATCAAGGAAAACATATGGCATTTAAGCACTTTGGGACTGGCTATTTCACTAAGTATAATGGTTTCAGTTGCATCCATTTTGTTGCAAAAGACAGGATTTTTTTTTTTTTTTGCTGCTAAGTATTATCATTTGTTTTGTTGTATTTGTGTTTATTGAGCTCTCAATAGATTTTGGATATTAATCCTTTATAAGTTTAGAGTTTGCAAATATTTTCTTCCATTCTATCATTTGCCTCCTCATTTTGCTGAGTGTTTCCTTTCCAGCACAGAAGTTTCTCAGCTTGATGTAATCCCATTTGTCAGTTTTGGCTTTGATTGCATGTGCTTCTGGGGTCTTCTCCAAGAAGTCTGTGCCTATGTCATTGTCTTGCAGTTTCCCCAATATCTCTACAATTTGATGGTACTGTGTCATAGATTTGGTCATCGATCCATGTTGAGTGGGTTGCTGTGCAAGGTGTAAGGTAGGAGTTTTGTTTCATACTTCTGCATGAGAATCTCCAGTTCTCCAGAAGACCTGTCCTTTCTCCCGGGATTGACTTTAGCTACTTTGTCAAAAATAAGTTGTTTGCAGGTAGGTGGTAGGTGGGATGATTTCTGGGGTTTCTATTTTGTTCCACTGGTCTACAGCTCTGCTTTTTGCTGTTGCTCATTTTCTTTTGTTTTGTTTTGTTTTGTGCCAGTACTAGGCTGTTTTGATTATAACTGCTCTAGAGTATGTCTTGAATTCTGGTATTGTGATGCTTCCAGCTTTGTTTTTATTTTTTTAAAACTTTTATTTAATAAATATAAATTTCCAAAGTACAACTTTTGGATTATAGCAGCTTTTCCCCCCCCATAACCTTCCTCCCACCCGCAACCCTCCCATCTCCCGCTCCCTCTCCCATCCCATTCGCATCAAGATTCATTTCAATTATCTTTATATACAGAAGATCAATTTAGTATATACTAAGTAAAGTTTGTACCCACACAGAAACACAAAGTGTAAAGTACTGTTTGAGTACTAGTTATACCATTAAATCACATAGTACAACACATTAAGGACAGAGATCCTACATGGGGAGTAAGTGCACAGTGACTCCTATTGTTCATTTTTTTTTTTTGAAAGGCAGAGTTAGACAGTGAGAGTGAGAGAGACAGAGAGAAAGGTCTGCCTTCCGTTCGTTCACCCCCCCAAATGGCCATTATGGCTGGAATGCTGCAACAATCCGAAGCCAGGAACCAGGTGCTTCCTCCTGGTCTCCCATGTGGGTGCAGGGCCCAAGGACTTGGGCCACTCTCCACTGCACTCCCGGGCCACAGCAGAGAGCTGGACTGGAAGAGGAGCAACCGGGACAGAATCCAGGACCCCAACCCAAACTAGAACCCAGGGTGCTGGTGCCACAGGCGGAGCATTAGCCTAGTGAGCCACAGCACTGGCCAACCTATTGTTGATTTAACAATTGACACTCTTACTTATGATATCAGTAATCTCCTTGGCTCTTGTCATGAGCTGTCAAGGCTATGGAAGCCTCTTGAGTTCGCCAACTCCAGCCTTATTTAGACAAGGTCATAGACAAAGTGGAAGTTCTCTCCTCTCTTCAGAGAAAGGTACCTCCTTCTTTAATGGCCTGTTCTTCCCTCTGAGATCTCACTCACAGAGATCTTTCTTACTTTTTTTTTTTTTTTTTTTTGCCAGAGTGTCTTGGCTTTCCATGCCTGAAATACTCTCATGGGCTTTTTAGCTGGATCTGAATGCCTTAAGGGCTGATTCTGAGGCCAGACTGCTGTTTAGGACATCTGCCATTCTATGAATCTGCTGTTGGATTGTTCTCTCCTTTTTAATTATATCAGTTAGTATTAGCAGACACTATTATGTGATCCCTTTGACTCTTAATCCTATCCTTATGATCAATGATGAACTGAAACTGATCACTTGGGATAGTGAGATGGCATTGATACATGCCACCTTGATGGGATTGAATTGGAATCCCCTGGCACGTTTCTAACTCTATCATTAGGGTTAAGTCCAATTGAGCATGTGCTGAACTGTACATCTCCTCCCTCTCTTATTCCCACTCTTATTTTTAACAGGGATCACTTTTCAGTTAAATTAAACACCTAAGAATAATTGTATGTTAATTAAAGAGTTCAACCTATAGTATTAATTAAAACAAAAAAAAATACTAAAAGGAATAAAGTAGTAAGTTGTTCTTTGACAGTCAGGAGAAGGGCTGATCAAGTCATTGTTTCTCATAGTGTCCATTTCACTTCTACAGGTTTCCTTTTAAGTGCTCAGTTAGTTGTCACTGATCAGGGAGAAAATGATATTTGTCCTTTTGAGATTGGCTTAATTCACTCAGCATGATGTGTTCCAGATTCTTCCATTTTGTTGCAAATGGCCAGATTTCATTTTTTACTGCCGTATAGTATTCTACAGAGTACATAACCTATAATTTCGTTATCTAGTCTTCTGTTGATGGGTATTTAGGCTGATTCCAGGTCTTAGCTATTGTAAATTGAGCTGCAATAAACACTGAGGTGCAGAAAGCTCTTTTATTTGCCAATATAATTTCCTTTGGGTAAATTCCAAGGAGTGGGATGGCTGGTTCATGTGGTAAGGGTTACATTCAGGGTCTGAAGAATCTCCAGACTGACTTCCATAGTGGCTTTACCAGTTTGCATTCCCACCAACAGTGGGTTAGTGTCCCTCTTTCCCTACATCCTCATCAGCATCTGTTGCTGGTAGATTTCTGTATGTGAGCCATTCTAACCAGGGTGAGGGGAAACCTCATTGTGGTTTTGTTTTACATTTCCCTGATTCCAGCTTTGTTTTTCTTGTATAATATTGCTTTAGCTACTTGGGGTTCCTTGTGTTTCTATGTGAATTTTAGCATCATTTTTCCTAGCTCTGGGATTAATGTCATTGGTAGTTTGACTGGAATCACATTGAATCTATAAGTTACTTTCAGTAGTAGTAGTAGTATGGATATTTTGATGACATTGATTCTTCCAATCTACAAATATAGAAGATATTTTAACATGTGTTTGTTTGCTTTCTTAAATGTTTTGACCTCATTGGTAAATTTATTCCAAGGAACTTAATTTTTGTAGCCATTGTGAATATGATTGATCTTAGAAGTTCTTTCTCATCTATAGCATTATCTGTATACAAAGGCTTTTGATTTTTGTGCTTAATTTTATATCTTATCCTGCCACTTTATCAAATTCTTTTATGAGTTCCAATAGTCTCTTAGTGGAATCTTTTTATTCCACTATATATAGAATCATGTGATTTCCAAATAAGGATAGCTTGACTTCCTCCTTTCCAATTTGTATCCTTTTGATTTCTTTTTCTATCCTAATGGCTATGGCTAAAACTTCTAGCAATGGAGAGTGGGCATCCTTGTCTGGTTTCAGATCTTAGGGGGAATGTTTCCTTTTTTTTTTTTTTTCTTTTTTTCTTTTTTTGACAGGCAGAGTGGACAGTGAGAGAGAGAGACAGAGAGAAAGTCTTCCTTTGCTGTTGGTTCATCCTCCAATGGCCGCCACTGCTGGCATGCTGCAACCAGCGCACCACGCTGATCCGACAGCAGGAGCCAGGTGTTTCTCCTGGTCTCCCACGGGGTGCAGGGCCCAAGCACTTGGGCCATCCTCCACTGCACTCCCGGGCCACAGCAGAAAGCTGGCCTGGAAGAGGGGCAACTGGGACAGAATCCGGCGAGGGGGAATGTTTCCAAATTTTCCCCATTCAATAAATGCTGGCTGTAGGTTTATCATAAATTGCCTTGACTATATTTTGAGGAATGTTCCTTCTGTACAATACTTGCTTAAGTTTTTCATCATAAAACGATGTTGTACTTTATCAAATGCTTTCTCTGTATCAATTGAAATAATCAATGATTTTTGTTCTTCAGCTTGGTAATGTGATATCACATTTATATATTTGAGAATGTTGACCTATACCTGCATACCAACGATGAATCCCTCTTGGTCTAAGTGAATTACCTCTCTGATGTGTTGTTGGATTTAATTAGCTAGCATTTTTGAGGACTTTTATATCTACATCCATCAGGGATATTAGTCTGCAATTCTCTTTCTCTGTTTTATCTTTTTCTGTTTCAGGAATTAAGATAATGCTCATAAATTGATTTTGGGAGGATTCCTTCCCATTAAATTGATTTGAATAGCTTGAGAAGAATTGGAATTGGTTATTTAAATGTCTAGTAGAATTCAGCACTGGAGTCATCCAGCCCTAGCTTTTCTTTGTTAGGAGGGACTTTATTACTGATTCAATCTCCATCTTGGTTATTGATATGCTTAGGTTTTCTATGTCTTCATGAGTCAATTGTTGGTAGATTTTACATGTCCAATAATATATCCATTTCCTCTATATATGGCATATAGCTCTTTGTAGTAATTCATGAGGGTTATTTTTATTTCTCTGGTACCTATTGCTACATTTCCTTTTTCATCTCTGATTTTATTGATTTGAGTCTTCTCTCTGTTTTTATGGTTAGTTAAGCAAATGGTGATTAATTTTGTTTATTTTTTAAACTAACTTTTTTTGTTTCAGTTTTGTTTATTTCTTCTCTAATATAAATTATTTCTTTCCTCTTACTAATTTTGGGTTTCACTTGCTGTTGTTTCTCTAGTTCCTTGTGATGTATTGATAGCTCATTTATTTGGTGCCTTTCCAACTTCTTGATATAAGTACCAATTGCTATAAACTCCCTCTTAGTGCTACTTCTTCTGTGTCCCATAAGTTTTGGTATAATGTATTGCTGTCCTCGCTCATTTCCATGTATCTCTCATTTGACAAATTGAATTTCTAATATTTCATTTTGATTTCTCTTCAAAATCTCAATTTCATGGAACAATTTTTCATCCATGTCATGTATATATTTTTACTCAAAAATTTGCTTCTCATTTCTTCTGAGTATTCCTATGATTAATCTTCTGAATTCCATTTCAGTCATTTCATCAATCTCTTTGTCTTCACATCTGAATACTGAAGTGTTGTGGTAATCCTTTGAGAGGGCATATTGTTTATCTTATTGAATTTCTGCTTTTATTTTTAGGCATTTGTGGAAGTACTTGTTGTTTTTTTCCATAGGTGGTTTTTATCTTTGAATTATACCCCTGTGGCTTATTGGAGTGTCTGCCCTTCTAGTGAATAGCCAGAGGCATGTGCTGGGTGTGGCCAGGGAGCTCTTCTCAGTGCTGCAGGGTGGGGCCAGGGAGACACCCAAGTTGGGCATTGTAGATCTTCTTGTTAGCAGAAAGGAGGGTATAATCACCTCAGTGCAATCACACCCTTACCACTCCTTCAAGGTGATCAGTGCCTGGGAATTAGCCCACAGTAGGCACATGAATCATCTGCACATGAAGCACACAGAGGATCTGTGCAGCCTCCAATGTGAGCATGGATTCCCCTGCAATGACCCACATGCAATCAGGGAGATCTGAGTGTGTGGAACTGCCCACGGTGATTGCCGAGAGACACAACTACACCCTGTGCACTCTCATGGAATCACAGTTAGGAAGCTGTCTTATTCTCATCAGAAATGAAGAGACTAACCAAAAGGTTACATTCTAAAGATATATCACCACACATTTTTTGTAATGAGTTTCCTGTCAGAACACAGGTGTCACGGAAACCACCATTAAGATGGGAAAAGAAACAGCTCATGTCAACATCATCATCACTGAACACAAAGATTTGAGAGATCTGAGTTAGTCCACCCTACTGGCCATCTGATCTATAAATGTGGTGGCATCCAGGAAAGAACCATTGAAATATTTGAGAGCAAAGCTGTTGAGACTGGAAAGAGTACCCTCCTGTGTGCCTGGGTCACAGATAATCTGAAAGTTAAGCATGATCTTGGTATCACCATCGACACCTCCATGTGGAAATCTGCCACGAGCAAGTATTCTGTTACCATCATTGGTACCGTGGAACGCAGAGTATGTATCACAAGCATGATGCCAGGCACATCTCAGGCTGACTGTGCTGTCCTGATTCTTGCTGCTGGTGCCAGTGAATTTGAATCCGCTATCTCCAAGCATGGGGAGATTACTGAGCATGCTCTTCTGGCTCACAGGCTGGGTGTGAAACAGCTAATTGTTGTTAACAAGCAGATTCCAATGAGTGACACTACAGCCAGAGAGATATGAGGAAATCATCAAGGAAGTCAGCACCCACATGAAGAAAATTGGCTACGGCCCCGACACAAGCATTTGTGCCAATTTTAATCTGGAAAGGTAACAAAATGCTGGAGCCAATTATTAATATGCCTCGGTTCAAGGGATGGAAAGTCACCTATCAAGATGGCAAAGCCTGTGGGACCAGGCTACTTGAAGCCCTGGATTGCATCCTCTCAGAAACTTGTCCAACTGTAAAGTCTTTTCATTTTCTCTTACAGGAAGGCTACAGAATTGGGGGTATTGATATGTCCCTGTGGGCCAAGTGGAGACTGATGTTCTCAAACCTGGCTTGAAAGTCAACTTTGCTCCAGTCAACACCGCAATGCAAGTGAAGTCTGTCAAAACACTCCATGAAGCTCTGAGTGAAGCTTCCTCTGGGGGCAGTGTGGGCTTCCGTGTCAAGACCATGTCTTTCAGAGAGATAGTCATCATGGCAATGTTGCTGGTAACAGCAAAACAGGACCCATCAGCGGAAGCATCTGACTTCACTGCTTATTCTGAACCATCCAGGCCAAATCAGGTACACAGCTCACATTCTTGCAAATTGGCTGAGCTAAGGGAAAAGATTGATCACCCTTCTGGTAAGAACTGGGCAGATGGCCTTAAATTCATGAAATCTTAAAATGCTGCCAACAATGATTTCTGGCATGCCTGTTTGTGTTGAGAGTGTCTCTGACTCTCTTCCTCTAGGTTGTTTTGGTATTCTTGGTATGAGATGGAGAATTGTGGGTATCATCAAAGCAATGGAAAAAAGTCAGTGGGAGTTTACAAGATCACAGAGTCTGCCCAGAAATCTCAGAAGGATACATGAATGTTATCTTTAATACCTGCCACTCCCGTCTTAATCAGTGGGGGAAGCATAGACTTAGAACTGTTTTTCTGAATTGGCCACTTACATTTAACACTAAGAAGCTCTTGATGATAGCAACATATTGTAAAACATTCAGAAGGAAAGTGGCAAGTTTTGTGGACTGGACCACATTGTGTGTGTGTGTGTGTGTGTACATGTGCGTATATGGCAGTTTTAAGTAATTTTTTAAAATCAGTACTGTTTAGTGGAAACAACTGGACCTAAAGTGTCTCAAAGAATTTTGAGAACCTTTAAAATAAAGTTTAGTGAGTAAAAAGAAATATCACTCTATAAAAATATTGGTTATTGACCACTTTCTTAGTGATAAGATAGGTTCACCATTTCACCTATGTTCAACATATTGTCTTGAATAGATTTCAGATGCATTCTTTGGAGAAAAATTACAGTGTTGAGGTGGAGAACATTAAAATTGCCACTGAATCTGTAGTTTTAAACACTCATTAATACAGAACTCTAAGATTTCATGAGTGTGCTGTGACTCATCTTTCCAGAATTGACTTCTACTTCTTAAATGGCTTGGAGTTGGAAAGCTAACAATATACTTTTAAAAGTATATAGTAAATTCATCTTCATGACAAATTATACTTGCATGAAACAGACAAATGTTCTCAGAAAAAAGACTCATATAATTACAGAAAAATCTATTTGAAGACATTGGAAATTGATGTAGCCTTAAGTGTCAAAATTTTTGAGAAAAGACAACTAGAAAAAGCAGTCAGGAGATATCAGTGGCTGGTTTTCCATGACAGCATTTCCTAGCTCTGCCAAACCATTGGTTAAGGACCGAGGGAGAAGTCCAAGTGGAGGGTTGCCATTAAGGAGAAGAGACAAACAGAAATTTTGGCAGAAGTTCAGGTTGGAGACATAAGAATTAAAGATGGGTGGAAAAAAGGTCAGAGTGAAGGGAGAGGCAGAGAGTTGCACAGATAGATTTGGCTTGTTTCTCCTGAGAACACATATTAAATCCTGAAGCTGCAAGTGGCAACAACAAGTCGATAATGAATGCAAACGGGAAGTGATATTTTGACAATCGTGTGCAATGGAAAAACAGTGATCAGAGGTTAGGAGTAAGCAAGAGGAGCAAACTTGAACTGCACACTGGGCTTTCACTAGGATTACTGGTGGCTGGACTCAGAACATCAAACCTGAGAAGTGGAAACCTCCCAAAACTCACATCAGTGCAAATTATGATCAAATTGAGATGCTTAACGTCAATGCCATTTTCATATCCAAGGAAAAGGAAAACTGTACCTGGAGGATTACACACTATAAAGACTTCATACACAAGACCAGACCTCTACTAAAAATTATGTCCAGGACAAAGGAGCAAAATAACAGAACAATAAGAAAAACTAAAAGGTAAAAAATATAAGCAAACGCATGAGTCATGCAGATACTGCAGATAAGTAAACAAATTAACATACAGGAAAATGAAAAGAGTTGACAAAATAAATAAAGTGAAGAAAATAACATAATATTGAAACCTAGAGAACTATTAAGTTATAAGAAAGATATTAGGGGACTGGCACTTGGCGTAGCAGGTAAAGCCGCCACCTGCAGTACCAGCATCCCATATGGGCAGCGGTTCCAGACCCGGCTGCCCCATTTCCGATCCAGCTCTCTGCTATAGCCTGGGAAAGCAGAAGATGGCCCAAGTCCTTGGGCCCCTGCATCCACCTGGGAGACCCAGAGGAAGCCCCTGGCTCCTGGCTTCAGATCGGTTCAGCTCCAGCCGTTGTGGCCAATTGGGGAGTGAACCAGCGGATGGAAGATTCTCTCTCTCTCTCTCTCTCTCTCTCTCTCTCTCTCTCTCTCTTTCTCCTTCTCTCTGTGTGTAACTCTGTCAAATAAATAAATAAATCTTTTTTAAAAAAAGAAGAATATTAGGGCCGGCGCCATGGCTCACTAAGCTAATCCTCTGCCTGTGGCGCCGGCACCTCGGGTTCTAGTCCTGGTTGGGACACCGGATTCTGTCCAGGTTGCTCCTCTTCCAGTCCAGCTCTCTGCTGTGGCCCAGAAGTGCAGTGGAGGATGGCCCAAGTGCTTGATCCCTGCACCCGCATGGGAGACCAGGAGAAGCACCTGGCTCCTGGCTTCGGAGCACACCAGCCTTAGTGGCCATTTTGGGGGTGAACCAACGGAAGGAAGACCTTTCACTCTGTCTCTCTCTCTCTCACTATCTAACTCTGCCTGTAAAAAAAAAAAAAGGATATTAGAGTATATTTAGAATGAAGATCAAAAAGAAAAGTGAAGGAGTAAGAGAACAGCATGTAAAATTATGTATGATACAGAAAATTTTTCAAATATGCATCACTGGAATCACAAACAGGAATTAGAGACTGATGGAGGGAAAGCAATACAAGAGAGCTTCAACAAAGGTCACAGAAAACAGAATTAAAAAATAAGCTCATGTTGATTTACAGAAAATTGAACCCATGCATCTGAGGAGTATTTGAAAAGTCAATGGAAATATGTATTACTGGAATGCTAACAATGAATTTCAAACTTTTTTGCTCAAATAAACTGAATTTCATTTTCCATGAGTTTTTTTAAGTACCTTCATATTTGAAGGGACAATGGCTAAACTTTTTAAAAACTATTGGAATAAATACATCAACCTACAGATTCAAAAAGCTTTATGAATTATAAGAAGGATTAGTATTACTGTTCACCTGACAGCAAAAGCAATGAAAACCCTCGAAGCAAAGATAAAAAGGAAAGTCTTAAAAGTATCAGAATATCAAGGTATCTGATTTTGTAGAAACAAGAATAGGATTTACGGTTTATTTTTCTACAACAATTATTTAAGCCAAAACTAATGGCAGGATCGGTTTGAATTTATAAAATAAACAAACTGTGGCAACCTAAATTCCTATACTGGATAAAAATATGAGAGCTTTTTAAAAGTTCAGAAGAAATGTGTATGAGAAAAAACTGCAGGGATTTCAAAATATTTTGCACCAAAATAAACATCTTTTAATTACATTTTCCATGAACTTTTTGAGGTACCTTTATATCATCTCCCCCTAACACACACAAAAAAAGGCAAAATAAAAATAGACTGAAACAGCCAACTGAAATAAATCTTATTCTGCTTACTTCCACTAGGATAAATATTCAGGCATAAGAAAAATGCCTGAACAGAGAAACATAAAGGCACAAAAACAACAAAGAATAGCTGTATGGAGTTGGGGGTAAATATAAACTCATAACAACTATGGAAAATAACAATGTGCTTACCTAAACTGTTTTTGCAGTTAGGGTATGTCAGAGCAAAGACAAAAAGAGCAAGCAGCATGGAAGTGTCCTAAGCATCTAACATTTTTAGAGAAATAGTTTATGATATTTTACAGTGAACTGTAATAAGTTTAGAACGCAGGTTCTAATTTTATGTCATACACCAGGACAACAGTAAAAGGATATGACACTTTAAAAACTATAGAAGGGAAAGTAGAATTACAAGAAATTGAAAAGCCCAAACAATGATTTTGTAGACAGGGTTATCATCCTAACCCCCAATATTCCAACATGTTAAAACTTGGAATATATTTGCATGACCAAGAACAGTTAGGGCTGACGATGGAATTAAGGATGCAAATCTAGCCTTATGCTGGAGAAATTATTCTAGACTATCCTGGGAGACCAAGTTTGTCACAGGCATCCTTATGGATCCTAAATGGAAGATGGGGACAAAGCAGAGGGAACAAGAGACTTGGAAGAGTAGAAAGCCTTAGCGTGAGGGAAGTTACAGACATGGAGCGTGCAGCAAAGCGGCCTGAAAATACAGGCAGCCTGTCCCAGCAGGGAAAGCGGCTAGGAAACAGGAGCACAGCCCTGCCAATGCCTTGGTTTCAGGTCAATGAAATCCATTTTGGATATCAGACCTCCAGAACTAGAAGATGAATTACATGTGTGTTTAACACCACTAAGTATGCAGTAATCGGTTACTGCAGCGGTGACATAGCTAGGGCAGACCAAAATTCAGGAGGAAATTGAAAAATTATCAAGTGAGATGGGGCTGGCTTTGTGGCCAAGCCGGTTGAGCTGCCAGCTGTGTTGCTGGCCTCTCAGAGCACAGATTCAAGTCCTGGCTGCTCTGCTTCTCATTCAGCTTCCTGCTAAAGCCCCTGAGGAAACAGTGGAAGATGTCCTGCTATCCAGGTGGGAGCTCGGATGGGGTTCCTGGTTTGGTTCCACTTGGCCCTGTCTGGGCTGTTGTGGCTATCTGCATGAGCAAGCGAATGGAAGATATTCCATCCCTCTCTTTCTTTCTCTCTCTCTCTGTAACTGCCTTTCAAATTAATAAAATCTTTTTAAAAAGTTAGCAACTGAGAACAAAGAAGAAAGGGGATGTGAACTTGAAGCACATCAAAGTTACCTTAAATGTCAATGGATTAATTATCAAATTAAAATATAAGCATAACCACAGTGTCGTTATATTCATATTGTCTTAAGAACAAGGACACAGGTAGCTGGATAGTATAGTTATTATGAGAAACAGATACACTATGCTAATACTAGCCAAACATTTAAGTGAAGTACGGTGATATTAATATCCAAAATAGTGGCTTTTATTGTTTTCAGTTATTAGGAAAAATGAGTTTTTTTATAATAGCAATCATCCAAGATATTTTAATCATATCAGTATGAAGACAAAAAAGAGCTTCATGATCTATAAAGCAAAACTGATAGATGTAAAAGAGAAATTTACATGGTATACTTTTTTAAGATTTATTTATTTATTTAAAACACAGATTTATAGAGAGGCAGAGGGGGAGAGAGAGAGAGAGAGAGAGAGAGAGAGAGAATGTCTTCCATCTACGGGTTCACTCCCCAAGATGGCTGCAACGGCCAGAGATGTGCAGATCTGAAGTCAGAAGCCAGGAGCTTCTTCTGGGTCTCCCACATGGGTGCAGGGGCTCAAGACTTGGGCCATCTTCTACTGCTTTCCCAGGCTATAGCAGAGAGCTGGATCAGAAGTGGAGCAGCCGGGACTTGAACTGGCACCCATATGGGATGCTGGCACTGCAGGCAGCGGCTTTACCCGCTACACCACAGCACCGGCCCCAGTATGCTTTTCTTAATAACTGATTTTAAAGCAGGGGAAAAGTGCCAGAAGTAAACAAGAAGTCTGAAGAACACATGCATTAGGTGTTCAACACTGCAGCAAGAATCTGAGAGGGGGCACTTGGGAGAGAAGAAGGGTGACTTTCGCACACTTTTGGAGGCTCACAATCCAACATCTGTGGCCTCACTGATCTGACATGTGATGACGGCAATGGACAGCGGAGCACATGCAGAGGACTGCACAGGGTGCCAGGAGGCAGAGAGGGACAGGGAACACATTCATCCTCCGTGCCCCTCTGCCTCTCCTTGTAAAGCCACCATAATTCAATCATGGGCGCTCCATCGCTGCAGCCCAATCTAATCAATTTCCAAGGCACCATCCTCAGGCTGCATAATTGGGTTAGTCTCCAACCTTAATCCATTAACAGAAGATTCTTTGTATACAATGTTTAAAACATGGGCCTTCCTGGGTAGGACATGCAAATGATATCCAAACCATAACAACATTTATCAAAATATAAATGACATTTACAAAGCATTGCAACCAAGATTGAGAAAATACACATTCTTTCTGAAGCACACGGAACCTACAGTAAAAGGGATCATGGAAAGAAAGCTCAAAAACCGCTAATCATTCAGAGTATGTTACCTAACTACAATGAAATTAAACTAGACATCCACAATGAATTGATAAACATCTTCAACATGTTGGAAATTATTCAGCATCTTTAAAATGACCCACAAGTCCAAGAAGAAATCACAGTGGGAATTAGGATTTTGAATGTAGTAAAAATGGAAATGAAAATAACAAAATGGAAGGATCATAGCATGGACTGAAATGATGAGCACAGAGGCCTCCGTCCATCCAGACGCTGTCTGTGACGTGCAATTGTCCTGCAGCTCTTTCTCAGGTAACCTGTGCTTTTCAAAACCTCAACTTTGACCAAGCCAACTTCAGAACATCAGCCGTGGACAAGGGAACGTCTACTGGATCTTAATGAGTGAGTTTTAAGTCGTAGGCCCACTGCAGAAAGGGTGATTAGGGACTTCATTGTTTGCATCTCCTTGCACCTGAATAACACATAGTGTGAGGATCAATATGAAAATGGCCTGCATCTCCTTAATCACTCATCAAGTCTGTTATCTCCCTCCAGTTCAGTGAGGTATTCTATTTTCAATGCTGTTGATAACCTCACATAAAGCTAGAATGCTTTAAATTTCACTCAGTGCATGCACTCAGACTGCAAGAAAAGTATAAAATCTGTAACCAAACTTGGGCGTGTAGAACAGCCAGCTCAAGCAAGTGACCGATTGTTTCCAGGTTTATAATACTGAATGAGTTTTAACTTTGATTTTCCACAGAGTGATGTATTACGTTAAGAAAATTTATAGAGTTAAGTAAATATATCAGAAACAAAGACAAGATAAAGAAAAATTCAGAAACTTAGGAAATTAGAGCAAATGTAATAGTAAATAATTAGAATTAAATATAACACTCATGGAAATAGAAATCAGTTAACAAATATTTAAATGAATAAACCATTAGAAACAATAAGAGAATTCAGTAAGTCACTGAATTTTAGTAAAATTGTAAAACTTTTAAAAGACTGACCACACTAGATGTTGATCGGAACATGGAGGAACTGGAACTCACAGACACTGCTTGTGGGAATTTCAAACGTAACATCACTTTGGAAAACCAATTTGCAGCTTCTTAAAAAGTTAAATGTATACCTACCATATGATTCCGCTGTTCCACTCCTAGGTACTAACTCAAGAAAAGAAAACATATGCCCACACAAGGACTTGTGCATGACTGCTGTTCATGTGTGATAGGCAAAACATGGAAATAAGTCAAAGATCCTGCAATCGGAGAATGCACTGTGTCCACACAATGGGATATTCTTCACAATAAAAGGGGATGAACCATTGATATGTAAGGTAATATGAGTGTAACTTTATCTCACAAAAAAGGTTACATATTGTTCTGTTCTATTTATACAGTATTCTAGAAAATTCCAAGTGTTCAAAAGTGTCAGAAAGTAGATCAGTGGTTACTTGGGAATGGAGGAATGGGTGCAAAGGAGTGAGAGGAGGAATTTCAAAAAAATATGAAAAAAATTGGGGGATGCTGGAAATGCTGACTTTCTTACTTGTGTTTCTGTTTTCATGTTTATATGGGCTTATACATAAAAACAGAAAATTGTACAACTGAACATGTGTAATGGGCTATGTATCAGTTATACCACAATGGGTCTTTTTAAAAAATGACCACAATATTTGAAAAGATTCTTCACATAAAAAATAAAGAATATCCAAATGCTAACAAACATATGAGGAGGGTATTTAACTTGTCCTTAGGGCCTGCCAATTAAAACCACAAAGTGATGTCACTATATATATACAACAATATTACTAAAAGGAAAGACAAATGCAAGCATAATGAGGATGTGGGGCAACTAGAAATTTCACATGCTGCTGGTGATGGAGTGAACTGGTATGAACCTCTTTGACAGAATCTACTAACCCAAACACAAGTGTGCCTTTTCTCACAGTAACCCCACAACTATGTAACACACAACGGAAAAATACGCGTGGGTTCAAGAAAGCACTATGTATGAATTTTTAGAGAAGCACTAATTTTAATGGCCACATGACTGTTAAAAATTCAACTCTTCATCAATAATAGGAAGGATCAATAAATTACAGTATGTTCAAACAGCATACAATGCATGAGTGAGTGATGAGAATGAATGGCTGATTCACATCAATTAGATGTATCTCACAACCTGGTGCCGGCTGAAAGATAACACTGTACAACTGGATTCTGCATAATTCCATTTACACAAAATTGAAAATTAAAGAGCTTATCGGAGGAGTTAGAAGTCAGGCTGGTGGTTCTTTGTAAATGGCTGGAATGGAGAAGCTGTGAAAGAACTCTAGCAGGTAGGATTACTCTGTTTCTGGATGTACAGAACATGATTGCATGGCTATGTTCACAGTGTGAGAGTCTATCATTCTGTCCATTTTTTCTGGTTTGTATACTTTTCTGTATGTGTGTTATATACTAATACAGACCTTTAAATATATATATAGATATATACACATGTATATAAAAAGCGAGGATGATAATGGAAAGATATCAATCAAACTGAAAACTGTAGCTCTCTCTGCATATCCACATCACTTTCTGTTCTACAAGAAGGAAAATACATCATTCAAAGCCTGTGTCACTAAGAGCTTCTTGGCTCACAAAGCACATCAATGAGCAAAACACACTCAAGAGCACACATCGCTATATAAAATAAGTGAGCAAATTTAGGTTACATGATATACATTGAGGTTTACACTGAGGTTTGGAAACTGTATTATGTATAATATATTTACCAGTATTTGTTTATTCCTGTATCTTTGGCTTGCTTTATGCCATATTGAATTTGATCTTGGACATGTAGTTGTGGCAAGGCATAGCATTATTCACATCTATGATGGTTAATTTATGTATCAAGATGTGTTGTATAATACAATGCAGTGCCCAGATATTTGGCTAAACTTCATTCTGGGTGTATCCAGGATGATGTTCCAGATAAGATTAGCACTGAAATCAGTAGGCTCAGTAAAACAAATTTCTTCCCCCGTTGTCATTAGGCATCATTCAATATACCAAGGGCCTTAATATACCAAAAGAGAGGAGAAAGAAATCACTCCTTAGACCTGTTGTCTAGCTAGAACATGGGTCATCTCTTGCACCTAGACTAGTACTTATGCTATTAACTTTCCTGGTTCTCAAACCTTTGGACTCAGACTGGCATTTCAAGACTGGCTTCTCTATGTCTCCAAATTGCACACAGTAGATCCTGGGACTTATTAGCATTCATAATTTTATGAGCCAATTACACACACAATGACTTCAAAATGTGGAAAATGAAATTGAAAGATAAGTATATGAACTTTATTTCTCAACACAAGTTCTATCAATTTCCAGACACTTTTTATAAGTGATGGCACCAGTCAGTTGCTCCATCCCTACAGAATTGGAGGTCCTGGGAATTTAACCCTGACAAAGCAGTCATTTTAAAATTATTCATGAAAGAAAAATGGGTGACCTTTAGACATTTTTTTAGAAGTAGAAAGTAAAAGGTGGTCAGAGGAGTGGAATCAGAGCTATAAGGTGAAGGCCTGGCGATTACCCATGGAAACTCCTGCAAAACTGCCTTGGTTTGTTGAGAGAATTCAGCAGGAGCATTGTTGTGGTAGAGAAAGACTCTCTGGTGAAGTTTCATGGGCATTTTTTTCAACTCATAATGATTTGTTATAACACATGTGAACAGGATTGAGTTTAAGGCAACAAGGACATCAGTTTGAAGAGAACCCCTTGGTAATCAGTGGGGATGTTGCTGAAATTAAAGCTAAAACATACACCAAATTTATGTTGAGGTTGTGTGGAAGAATGACAAAAGCATTGATACTTTATGTAAAGCCTCTGAGTACAATTCATGGACATCTTACTGCTAAAGCTTTGATCTTTCTCAAAACACTCTCATGGTAAGCAGCTGTTATCATGGTTTGGCTCTCCAGAAAGTCAACAACAACAACAAAAAACACCTGATCATGCTAAAGGAAAAAAAAAAACACCTCTTGCCTTGACTTTTGCTCATGTTTGGTCTGCTTTCACTCTGACTGGACCACTTCTGCTTCTTGGTAGCCATTGTTTGATTGTACTTTGTTTTCAGGATCATACCAGTGAATCTGTTTTGTCTTTTGTTATAATTCTCAGAAAAATGCTTCAAGATCTTGATTCCACTTGTTGAAAATTTCCATTGAAAGTTCTCTTCCAGCAGGTGCTGTGGCATATCTGGTAAAGCCATCTCCTGCAGTGCTGGCATCCCATATGGGTGCCAGTATGAGACCTGGCTGCTCCACTTCCCATCCAGCTCTCTGCTATGGCCTGGGAAAGCGGCAGATGGCCCAAGTCCTTGGGCCCCTGCTCCTGCAAGGGAGACCTGGAAGAAGCTCCTGGCTCCTGGATTCAGATCAGCCCAGCATTAGCCCTTACAGCATTTGTGGAGTGAACCAGCGGAAGACACCCCCGCCCCCCTTTCTGGAACTCTGCCTTTCAAATAAATAAATAACTCTTTTTAAAAAATAAAGTCCTGCCCTTGTTGGCAGCTAACCCCAGGACACGCAATTTGGTACCCACCTTAACTGTGCAATCAGAACTGTGTCATCTGAACCATTTGGGACATTGGGGATTGTTTCTGCTGTTGATCATCAATCCTTTTCAAGGGCATGAATAAGATTAGTTTACGCCTTGTAAATGGATGCTGATGATATGCTACTACAACTTGCTTCTTTGACATGCTTTTGTTCTTTCTTAACATGAGGTGCCCATTTGCACACTGCTGGTTTCTTTGGGGGCATTGCCTCCGTAAGTCTTTTGTAAAACCCCAGTGATTGCACCCAGGCGTCACCATCATTTGTTGTTTGTCCAATTTAGCAGAATCCCTGCTGCTCTGGTAGAAGCTCTTTTCTACCTGAAGCTTTATCTTTCTTGGTGCCTCAAACTAGATTCTATTCAGGCATGAATTACTATGAGTTTATCAGAGTGGAAAATGTTTTTCAAGTATATGCATTGTTTTCTCATAATATAGTATTCCAATCACTTTTTAGACTCGTGTGTGTGTGTGTGTGTGCGTGCGTGTGCATGTGTGCTCTGGGTTCTGCTTGTCTGAATGGCATGATTTGGCTAGCGACCTTTTGTGTTGTCCTTCTACCCTGAGTACCACATGTCTCAGAAAATGGTACTTTTAATTTGGGTTCCAAAATGAAAAGATGGATACAGTCTAGCAAACTGCCCACACCCTGCCAAGCTCTTCAGAGTTCCAGTTGAGCATGAACCCTCAGATAATGTGAGTTAGAGTGTTTTAGGGGAAGGGAGATATTGTTATGAAAAATAGTGAATTTACAGACTATTAGAAGAAGCAAAGGATTATCTCTGAAGTGAAACAGATTGTAAAGTGTAGCAAGGAAAATCACTGTTAATAAATGATCCTGTTCTGGTTAGCATTCATATAAAATTTGAGGCAATAAGATTTTTGCAAAGAAACAGTAGAAATAATGAGGAAAAAATCAAGGAGGAGTCAACTAGGAATCAATATCTATTTACAGAGGATCTTCTTTTTCAAAAAATCCATCATAATACCTTCTGGGAAGGAAACAGATTTCAGTGCCGATAATATTTGACCTCAGCAGACCTCGTAGTAAACAGTCTACTACTCTGATTGGGTTTAGCAACAGGGGAATATATCTTAAAAATGCTTTTAACAGTATGTACTTGTTCATCCAGATTGCTTATTATAAATAAACTCAAATTTATGGAGTTGTAGGCCATGACTGATTGGAGAACAGAAAGAATGCATGCAGAGTCTTTTTGTGTGACAAAGGGAAAATAAATACTGAGAAGTCCTAGACCCAGACAGCTTCCCCTGAGAACAGTGCTCTGCACATATTGTTAGTGCTGCCTGCTTCTGTGAGGCCAAGTCTTGATTCAAAGTGCAAGAACGGGGCATGTTATGCAAGCTATTTCTGTTGGTTTGGGATGCCTCCAGAGCAGGATGTTATATCTACATTGCTTTGTTGCTTTATTCTTTTCATTACTGGTGAAATTTGCTGTTGGATATGATATTTGAATCATGTGTATTTTGCCAATTTAAACCTTGTGGTGGTGTACCAATTATAATGAGAAATTATTAGTTTTTCCTTGGAACCAAGCACTAAACTATGTCTTAAAGGGATTATGGATACATTAAGAAAAATAGCATAGCAGGAAATTTTAAGCACATGTTGTGACAGAAATCAAAATAGGATAGCAAGGGAAAATAATTAATTCAAAGGCAAGCATGTGGTACAGTAATTACTGCTTGAGACATACACATCCCACATTGATTCTGATGCTTCCTGCTAATGCACACCCTGAGAGGGAGAAGATGATGGCTCAAGTACTTGGGTCCCTGTCCTGGGTCACAGCCTTGCATAGCCACAGCTGTGTGCCCTTGGAGAGTGAACCACTGGATGGAAGGTCTCTCTCCTCTTACTCTCTCTCTCCCTCTCTCTTTCTCTCTCTCTCTTTTTCTGCCTTTCAAATAAAATGAAAGTAAGTGAAACACTTTATAAAAAAAGTTCACTCAAACGTGAACCTTTTAAATTTTTTACCTGCCCCTCTTGCTGAGTCAGATGAGCAAGAGATAGTATATTTTGTTATTGTTAATTTTATTGCATTACCTTGCTTAACTTATAAGCTGTCACAGGAAGATATTCACGTTACTTATTTCTATATGTACCTCTAAATTGTTTAATATATAAATCTATTTTGATACTTTATACAAATGCTAACAATTTTCTTCACAAGTTTTTCTTAAAATGTTAATGCTTTTGGCACAAAGCAGAATTAATGTTTATTTCATTGATTTTATGCATTTCAAGTATTCTACATGATCCTGTAATATTTCTTTTCTATTTTATATATTTTTTAATTTATATAAAGTGAACAAAGTTCAAATATTTCATATATACAGATTTAGGATCATAGTGATACTTCCCATCCTAACCTCCCTCCTGCCCATGATCCCATTCTTCCTCACCTTCCTTCTTATTATTTCTTAAAACTTTTAGAAAGACATACTTTCAGTTGATTTACAATCATAAGATTAGCCCTGCACTAAGTAAATAATTCAACAAATAGCAAGAAGAAGAAAAAAAAAGTGTTCCTCAACAGTAGAGACAAGAGCTGCAAACAATAATCAGTTCTCAAAATGTCAATTTCCCTCATATAGATTACATTTTTGTACTTTATTAGTTACCACAGATCAGGGAAAACTTCCTATGTATTGCTACTTTATGTTATTCTGTAGGGCTGGTTTTGAAATATATAATAATGTACATGAACAGGCATACATGCTAAATGACAGACTGTAATTTACAACTGCAGAGGAAAAATGTTCTTAAATACGAGTAGAGTCCATTTTTTCCATTGGAGAAGTGGTACTTTGTATCCAGCTAATATTGTGAAAATGATATCTTCAAAAGTCCAGCAGTACAATTTGACAGATTGTAAGAACAGAGTTAGAACGCTAAACTCACATATGAAGACTTAGTAATATTTAAATTCATTTCTGGTAAGTGCTCTTTGGACTCTAAATGTAACTGCCTTTTCTGAAAAATGTTGATAACTAAGATTTATATTTAGGTAGGACACTGACACCACAGTCTTCTACTTTAGGAAAAAATCTAAATGGAATCCTGCCTCTGTTGTCTCTTCATAATTATGATAACATATGACAGAAAAGTAACGTGTTTTTAAGTAGCCTACAATCAGGAGTAATACAAAATAGTTTTCTTGGAAACAATGATATGATATTGACTGTAACTATAGGTTTCAGTTGGCCCAGTCTTTCTGTATTTTTCTGGGGTTCTAGAATTTAGGTATTTCTAAGTGCATGCAGAATCCTCTAGTTAAGTTTACATGTATAAAATCTCATATTTCAACAGATAAGAATGAGTAAGAATCAAATATTAATGAGGAATCTTAGTATGTCCATACAACTCAGTACTGGTAGATACTACAGCATTATGAATCTCACAAACACTGTATGTGAAAGAAGTCAATTGCAACATGTTGCCTGATTACATTTACATGAATTAACAAGAATGAACAAATGCACAGGACAGGAAGTACATAAACAGCTTCCTGAGCTAGAGGGGAGGCAGAGTAAATGGTGAATGTCTGTTAGTAGCTATGAGGTCTGAAGCATTCTAATTACAGTAGCATAACCCTCTGTATGTACCCAAAGCCTTATCTGTATTCTTTGATTAGGTGAATTCTGTGGTATATAAATTCTATTTAAGTAAAATTTTAAAGTACAGAATCTAATCAATAATCTTAGAAGCATCTCTGTATTTCTAAAACTCAATAACAATTTTTAAAGTTGTTTAATATTTGGAATAGAGTTTAACCCATCTCTAATGGAACTCACATTTAAATGGTTTTATGGTTTAAATTGTTTAAATGGTTTTAAACCATTTAAAGAAGCCACTAACGGCTACCATAAAATGTCCTTCTGTTGAAGTGCCAGACTGAATGCCTATCTTAATCCTGACCCAGACCACTGGTGTGACCCACCGCATTCTCCCAAGAGAAAACCATCTTTGCACTCAACAGTCTAGTGTGTCACTTTGAGGAACTTCCAAGTAGGCAGTCCCCTGAGAGTATCTCTTAGAGGTAAAGATGGGTAGGGAAATTTACAAAATAATAATTTTCTAAATTTCTACTCCATGTTCTTCACTCATGTGTGAAATGTATTTACATGAACATAATAACTCAAACCTCAAATATTACTTTAACCCAGTATTTTATTTTATGATGTTTGATAATGGGGCAGGAGAATGACAAAGATAGAAGTTTTAGAGCTAAATCTTTGTATTCTAAGGAAAAACCAACATGTGAAATTAAATATATGGATTGAAGAAAAGCATTTTTTATAAAAATATGGAGTCTGAAAGAAGTAGCTTTTGGGCCTCTGGAATCAAAAGTTTAGAAGAGAGCCTATGTTGTGGTGTAGTGGGTAAAGCCCATATGGGCACTGGTTCATGTCCTGGCTACTCCACTTCTGATCCAGCTCTCTGTTAATGCACTCAGGAAAAGCAGAGAGGATGGCCCAAGTGTTTGAACCCCTGCTACCCATCCAGGAGACCTGGATGAAGCTACTAGCTCCTTTGGCCTGGCTCAGCCCTGGCCATTGTATCCATCCGGGGAGTGAACCAGCAGATGGATGATCTCTCTCTCCCTCTCTCTCTGTAACTCTTTCAAATAAACAAATAATCTTTTTCTGCTGGGGCAAGATGGTGGAATAGGAAGGGAGCACACTGATAGTCCGGGGAGAGATAGTTTAATAAAAGTGGAGATACTGCAGGTTCAAGGAAGAGTAGGGGAGGAAACAGCAGAAGAAACTCTTCCGGAACGCGTGATTCACAGCGGACCTGTGTGGAGAGCGTGGGAGCCCACAGTTCGGGACACCAGTGGCAGACTCAACACACCAGCGCTGGAACGCGAGGTGAGCCGAACCTCAATAGCCCGAGACACCGGCAGGCAAGCAGAGAGAGGAGACCAGAGGGAATGACCCCCCGGTGGGGGTGGAGTTCACCAGGCTAACTGGAAGAGAGAGAGAGAGAAAAAAAAAAAAAGGTGACTGGTACGGACACGGGTTTCTCTCTCCGCTCACCTCTCAAGGGTGAGCAAGACAAAGAGCAGGTGCCATCTTGGACATACGTCATAAGCAGAGCGACCTCAGGTCTGCACCGGCCCTGAGCCTAGCAGAAAAACCTGACTCTGGGCGGGGAAAATTAACAGGAGATTAGGACCTAGTAAATTTGTGGTGCTACTGAACTGAGACTGTGAAAAAAAGGGACGGTGGGGGAGAGAACTCACGGAATTCACGTGAGCACTCTCCAGAGACGCTACAATTCCGTAACTTTGGCAACCCAGTGGGAGACTGAAGGAGAATTTGAGCCCACTCTGAGGGCTGAACAGATTCCCTGGGTGGTCCTTGGGAAAGAGCTTCCGATCTCTGGCTCCTGTGGGTATATCATTTGCCTGCTAACTACCTCCAACTTCGTTCAGCTGTGCAGAATTACTTCCCTTTTGAATAAAAAAAAAAAAGAAAGAGAGAGAGAGAGAGAGATTTACCACGCCTAACCTGGGAGTGTCACCTTTGCCACACCAAACAGAGCTCTCAGGCCACACCCATCTCAAGCCCTAAGGCTCCATCAAAAACAGATAGTCCACTTAATCTAGAGTCATAGTATAACAAGAAAAAGTACCACAGTGAAGAAACCAAATATCTCCAATATGCCAAATAACAAACGCAAAAACCGAGGTAATAAAAACAAGGAAGTCACCATGACGCCCTCAAATGAAAAAGACACCCCAATTCAAGATTATGAAGATGATGACATAGAAGAAATGCAAGAAGCAGATCTCAAAAAATTGATAAGAACATTAAGAAGTTCTCAAAAACAAATTCTTGAACTACAGAAATCCTTAATGGACAAGATAGAAAATCTCTCTCGTGAAAATGAAATATTAAGGAGGAATCAAAATGAAACGAAACAACTAGTACAACAGGAAACTGGGATAGTGACTGAAGTGAAGAATTCAATAGATCAAATGAAAAACACAATAGAGAGCCTTACAAACAGAATGGGTGAAGCAGAAGAGAGAATATCGGACTTAGAAACAGAGAACAGGAAAGGATACAGTCAGACCAAAGAAAAGAAGAGGAAATTATAAATCTAAAACATATTGTCGGGAATCTTCAGGATACTATTAAAAAAACCAACATTCGAGTTCTAGGAGTTCCTGAAGGCATGGAGAGAGAGAAAGGATTGGAAGGCCTTTTTAGTGAGATGTTAGCAGAAAATTTCTCAGGTTTGGAGAAGGACAGAGAAATCCTAGTACAGGAAGCTCACAGAACCCCTAATAAACACGACCAAAAGAGATCCTCACCACGACACATTGTAATTAAACTCTCCACAGTGAAACATAAAGAAAAGATCCTAAAATGTGCAAGAGAGAAACGTCAGATTACTCTCAGAGGATCTCCAATCAGACTCACAGCTGACTTCTCATCAGAAACCCTACAAGCTAGGAGGGAATGGCGAGATATAGCCCAGGTACTAAGAGAGAAAAACTGCCAGCCCAGAATATTATATCCTGCAAAGCTATCATTTGTGAATGAAGGTGAAATAAAGACTTTTCATAGCAAACAGAAATTGAAAGAATTTGTTGCCACTCGTCCAGCCCTGCAAAAGATGCTTAAAGATGTGTTACACACAGAAACAAAGAAACACGGTCATCAATATGAAAGAAGGTAAAGGAAGGAAACCAAGGAAGGAAAGCTCACAGCAAAAGATCACAGGGAATTCAAAGCATATATTAGAACTTATCTTTGGCAAATGGCAGGGCAAAGTTACCACTTATCATTAGTCACTTTGAACGTGAATGGCCTGAACTGTCCAGTTAAAAGACACCGTTTGGCTGATTGGGTTAAGGAACAAAACCCATCTATTTGCTGCTTACAAGAAACACATCTTTCCAACAAAGATCCATACAGACTGAAAGTGAAAGGCTGGAAAAAGATATACCATGCCAACAGAAATGAAAAAAAGAGCGGGCGTAGCCATCTTAATATCGGACAACATAAACTTTACCACAAAAACTGTTAAGAGAGACAAAGAGGGGCACTATATAATGATTAAGGGATCAATACAACAAGAATATATAACAATTATCAATGTATATGCACCTAACTACAGGGCACCAGTTTATCTAAAAGATTTATTAACGGACTTAAAGGGAGACTTAGACCCCAATACAATAGTACTGGGGGACTTCAATACTCCACTCTCAGAAATAGACAGATCAATAGGACAGAAGATCAACAAGGATACAGTAGATTTAAATGACACTATAGCCCAAATGGATCTAACAGATATATACAGAACTTTCAATCCTACAGCTAAAGATTTTACATTCTTCTCAGCAGTACATGGAACCTTCTCTAGGATTGACCACATACTAGGCCATAAAGCAAGTCTCAGCAAATTCAAAAGAATTAGAATCATACCATGCAACTTCTCAGACCATAAAGGAATGAAGTTGGAAATTAGCAACTCAGGAATCCCTAGAGCATACGCAAACACATGGAGATTGAACAACATGCTCCTGAATGAACAATGGGTCATAGAAGAAATTAAAAGAGAAATCAAAAACTTTCTGGAAGTAAATGAGGATAACAGCACAACATACCAAAACTTACGGGATGCAGCAAAAGCAGTGTTAAGAGGAAAGTTTATGTCAATAGGTGCCTACATCAAGAAATTGGAAAGGCACCAAATAGATGAGCTTTCTATTCACCTCAAGGATCTAGAAAACCTACAGCAAACCAGACCCAAATCTAGTAGGAGAAGAGAAATAATTAAAATCAGAGAAGAAATCAACAGGATTGAATCAAGAAAAACATTACAAAAAATCAGCCAAACGAGGAGCTGGTTTTTTGAAAAAATAAACAAAATTGACACCCCATTGGCCCAACTAACTAAAAAAAGAAGAGAAAAGACCCAAATCAATAAAATCAGAGATGAAAAAGGAAATGTAACAACAGACAGCACAGAAATAAAAGAATCATCAGAAATTACTACAAGGACTTGTATGCCAGCAAACAGGGAAACCTATCAGAAATGGATAGATTCCTGGACACATGCAACCTACCTAAATTGAACCAGGAAGACATCGAAAACCTAAACAGACCCATAACTGAGACAGAAATTGAAACAGTAATAAAGGCCCTCCCAACAAAGAAAAGCCCAGGACCAGATGGATTCACTGCTGAATTCTACCAGACATTTAAAGAAGAACTAACTCCAATTCTTCTCAAACTATTCAGAACAATCGAAGAAGAAGGAATCCTCCCAAATTCTTTCTATGAAGCCAGCATCACCTTAATTCCTAAGCTGGAAAAAGATACAGCACTGAAAGAGAATTACAGACCAATATCCCTGATGAACATAGATGCAAAAATCCTCAATAAAATTCTGGCCAAGAGAATGCAACAACACATCAGAAAGATCACCCACCCAGACCAAGTGGGATTTATCCCTGGTATGCAGGGATGGTTTAATGTGCGCAAAACAATCAATGTGATACACCACATTAACAGACTGCAGAAGAAAAACCATATGATTATCTCAATAGACGCAGAGAAAGCATTTGATAAAATACAACACCCGTTCATGATGAAAACTCTAAGCAAACTGGGTTTGGAAGGAACATTCCTCAATACAATCAAAGCAATCTATGAAACACCCACAGCCAACATCCTATTGAATGGGGAAAAGTTGGAAGCATTTCCACTGAGATCTGGTACCAGACAGGGATGTCCACTCTCACCACTGCTATTCAACATAGTTCTGGAGGTTCTAGCCAGAGCTATTAGGCAAGAAAAAGAAATTAAAGGGATACAAATTGGGAAGGAAGAACTCAAACTATCCCTCTTTGCAGATGACATGATTCTTTATTTAGGGGACCCAAAGAACTCTACTAAGAGACTATTGGAACTCATAGAAGATTTTGGCAAAGTAGCAGGGTATAAAATCAATGCACAAAAATCAACAGCCTTTGTATACACAGACAATGCCATGGCTGAGGAAGAACTTCTAAGATCAATCCCATTCACAATAGCTACAAAAACAATCAAATACCTTGGAATAAATTTAACCAAGGACGTTAAAGATCTCTACGATGAAAATTACAAAACCTTAAAGAAAGAAATAGAAGAGGATACCAAGAAATGGAAAAATCTTCCATGCTCATGGATTGGAAGAATCAATATCATCAAAATGTCCATTCTCCCAAAAGCAATTTATAGATTCAATGCAATACCAATCAAGATACTGAAGACCTTCTTCTCAGATCTGGAAAAATTGGTGCTGAAATTTATATGGAGGCACAAGAGACCTCGAATAGCTAAAGCAATCTTGTACAACAAAAACAAAGCCGGAGGCATCACAATACCAGATTTCAGGACATACTACAGGGCAGATGTAATCAAAACAGCATGGTACTGGTACAGAAACAGATGGATAGACCAATGGAACAGAATTGAAACACCAAAAATCAACCCAAACATCTACAGCCAACTTATATTTGATCAAGGATCTAAAACTAATTCCTGGAGCATGGACAGTCTATTCAATAAATGGTGCTGGGAAAATTGGATTTCCACATGCAGAAGCATGAAGCAAGACCCCTACCTTACACCTTACACAAAAATCCACTCAACATGGATTAAAGACCTAAATCTACGACCTGACACCATCAAGTTACTAGAGAACATTGGAGAAACCCTTCAAGATATTGGCACAGGCAAAGAATTTCTGGAAAAGACCCGGGAGGCACAGGCAGTCAAAGCCAAAATCAACTATTGGGATTGCATCAAATTGAGAAGTTTCTGTACTGCAAAAGAAACAGTCAGGAGAGTGAAGAGACAACCGACAGAATGGGAAAAAATATTTGCAAACTATGCAACAGATAAAGGGTTAATAACCAGAATCTACAAAGAGATCAAGAAACTCAACAAAAACAAATCCAACAACCCAATTAAGAGATGGGCCAAGGACCTCAATAGACATTTTTCAAAAGAGGAAATCCAAATGGCCAACAGGCACATGAAAAAATGTTCAAGGTCACTAGCAATCAGGGAAATGCAAATCAAAACCACAATGAGGTTCCACCTCACCCCGGTTAGAATGGCTCACATGCAGAAATCTACCAACAACAGATGCTGGCGAGGATGTGGGGAAAAAGGGACA